CACATGGGCTTTCTCCCTTAAGAATACCCCCTTTACAGCCCACACTTCCCATCCACACCCCAGACTCTCACTATCTCACTACAAAATCCAGTCCTAATTCACATCCCCCTGCTGTGGTCCTGGATGTGCCTAGCCCGCATTCCTTCTTCTTCCCTGCCCTCTTGCTTCCCAAAGCCCTTTGTTTATGACACAAGGTAAAATGCTCATTTCATAATGTGTGTTTCTCTAGACAGGACACTATTTGTTCCAAGAGGGAGCTTTGAACCCTGTGTCTGAGGCTTCATGGTAACCTTACTTGCTGTGGTAGATCTCGGTACACAGTAGATGCTCAATAAATGACTGTGGTTTGGGTTCTTATGTTAGAGTAACTTTCTAGTTCATTTATGTTCCCCCCGTCTGCCCCCAGCCAACCTATTAATGTTATTTTTTATTTATCCTCTTCATTCATCTGGTTATATTTAATGTTCTTGATTCCAGCCATGACCCTTGGCATGCCCCACATCTACCCCACATCTTCTCCATCTTTGTGTGTGCTCTTCCTTCCCCAAGGAGTACTTTCCCCATTTCCTTCAAGGTCTTGCTCAAAGTGCCATTTTCTCTGTGGAGCTATTTGCTCCTGATCCTTTCAATCCTGCCAGTCTAAAGAATCTGATCTCTCAACAGCGTGAGTCTTTGAATTTACCCACCAACTTCTAAATTTCCATTAAAAGGGGAAACTGAACTAATCCGCTGTGGCTGAGGAGACCGCAAGGAGGAATGCCAGAGTTCATGAAGAATATTCTGAGACCCGTGCCAGAGTCACTCCCTTGTCCAGACCAAACACAGAGTGTGAATGATGGATAGAGATTTCGGATGTGGGGTATGATGAAGGGTGTGGGGGGGGCTAGGCTGGTGGGCTGGAGTCTCTCTATTTAAAGTGGCTGCCAACATGTTTGGCCTGCTCCCTGGAGGTGAGAGGGCTGTTTGTGTTCTGGTCCATATCAAAGGTGCCGTTAACACCCCTATAGTCCAGGTCTGTTAGCTCTCCTCGTAAAACAGTGTTTGGAGAAATATCTCCTGGGAGAGAATTTGGGTTTGAAACTGGAAGAAAGAAAGCTTGAAACTTAATTGGGAAGTAAGAGATATATCAAGGAGGAAAAAGTAAGAATTTTGAAGTGGAAAACACCTTGTGAAGAGTAAAAATAGTGTCTTTTAGGTGGCATATGAGGTGGTTCAGCTGCTAACCCTTTCATTAGCTGACTTCCTGTGCTCCACTGGGAAGGTCCTCTGAGGGCTGATTGCCACCCCTGGTGCCTCTAACCAGCTGGTGTCACCTCTCATGCCTCTGATTCCAGGAAGACAGGTTGCTTAGCAAACAGTAAGCGATGTTACATTTCGGGAAAGGTGACCTATCCGTCATCAAGAATTTATTGAGCACCTTTCATGTACCAAGAATGGTAACAGGTGCTGGGGTGGGGACGGTGGGGGGGGTGGTTAGATATAAAGAGAAACACATGACATCATTTTGTTGTTGTTTTTGTACTTTGGGTAAAGTACAAAATCATGTGATTTTCATTTGTTTGGGGAGACTGACAAGAGAGATTAAAAAAAATGAGCAAACCCTTTCAGTAGGAAGGAATACTATATGGTCATAGGCTCTTCCACTGAGCCATTGAACCTGGGTACTCTCAGGACATAGCTCTGGGAGCCACTACTGGTCATTTCCCATTAGTGCAAAGCACAGACCTAGTTCTCACCCCATTCTCATCCCTAATTTATATTCTGCTTCACCTTTATATTAGCTCTTGGGATGGTGGTCTAATATTCCTGTGTTTTATGTCTGAACAGACTCTCATGAAAGATTATTTTAAAATATGTTTTGTAATTTTGATTTGTGAACTTATATTATGCCCTATCTGTGGAAATTCTCCACTACCTGCCTCTCGAAAAATTTCCATTGCTTCAGTCAGGCACACTGGAGAGACTAGCATCTCTGGACTAACTTCTATAATCACCTTCTGCCTTGAGGTTCCCAGACTAGATAGGTGGTGGTGCTTCAAACCTCCAACTGCATTGTAGGAAGGCACAGCTATAAATTCCAGTAGATTTTTTTTCCCCCTATCTAAGCCGATGAGACTATTTCTCCATGTATTTGTGGGTGGATTTTTTCTAGTCCACCCCTTTAACAAAGGTGTGTGTTAGTGAGTGTCCTAGGTTTATAGGGAGAGTGGGAAAGGGGTAACGTTTATAATTGCATTTCTATCAGCTGGGTTTGGAGTTTCATATGTCCTGTTCATGAAGGTGCTAAGATTCTAGACTACTGATTATGGGAAATGGAACCCTTCTTCCCTCCCAGGCAGCCTCAGTGTTATTATTTGCCACTTATGGCTGTGATTTTTAAGTTCTTGTTATGTGAAAGTTCTATAGAATCCCCTATTTTTCTGAAAGCTCAACAACACATTTTAAAGAATGTTGACCATATTTTACTGATAACTTTGTTTAACAAAGATTGCTGGCCTCCATCCTCAGAGTTTGTAATTTGAGGCAAAACCTGATTGTTTACTTTTAATGTTGAGCATATTTCTAGGTTTGTGGAAGGAGAATGTTTATCTACAGCCCATGAACAGAAATGTATACAGCAAATCTTAATGTTGAAAATAATTCAGGCAGTCCTTATCATCTACAGACACTGTTGCAGAGCAGGACCCCATGATAGCTGCTTCTTCTCTGGCTCTTTAGACCTTACATCAATCTCAAGACAGAAGGTTGAATCCTGTCTGATTCCCCATGGCAGAAATAAATTATATATTAGAGACATGCCCCATATCACCATTTTTTTTAGTGAGCAAATATGTTTATCCTTCTTTATTTTTCTGTGTAATATCTTTAAGTCCATCTAACAGTTTTGAGGCCCCATTTTTTCCTCATGATTGCTCACTATGAAGGAAGACCTCTTCCAAGCCCCGCTGTTGTCTCTCAGTGCAGCTGTACCAGCCACTGCCACATGGAGGCGCTGCTAAACACAGCAGCCTTCTGGTCCAAGTTGTTTGGTGCTCCCTGGTAATCTCATTTGGACAGCAAGCTCGCAACTCTTCAAGGCACTCCAGATTTGCAGCAATCCTACTATAAAGCTATGATGACGCAGTGGCTGGTCCTGATGGCCTGTTAGCCTCAGCCAACTGCTGTTTCAAAGGAATTCATTCTCACTCTCCTGTCCTGCATTGCAATAGTGTTCAGACTGCATATATTTCCTTCAAGGATACTAGGCTTCCCACATCCTTTTTGTTTCTCACTTAAAACTAATAATGATACTCACTTTCATGGATAAAATGACTGTGCATCTAAAAATTGTGCATCAAAATTCACGTATGTAGGCTAGGCATGGTAGCACATGCCTGTAATCCCTGCAACTCAGGAGGTTTGAGGTAGGAGGATGATATGTTCAAAGCCAGCCTCAGCAATTTTGAAAGACTCTCAGCAACTTAAATAAAATCCTATCTCAAAATAAAAATACACTAGAGGACTGGGAATATAACTTAGTGGTGACGGCCCATGGGTAATAAATGCCCACTACAAAAAACAAAACACAATATAACCACCCACCACCAACAACACTCTATTTCCCTTGTCAATGGTCTGAGATTCTGAGCTAACTGATCAAGATCTGGATTCTACCAAGTGCTAATGCACAGTAGTTCTCAATGAGTCGATGGACCAGGAATGTCAGCACTACTAACAGACTTGTAAGAAATGCACATTTTCAGATTCCACCTCAGAGCCATAGAGTCAAACTCTGGAGGAGGGATCAGCAATCTTTGTTTAAACAAACGCTGCAATGATCACTCAAGCTTGAGAAGCCCTTCCATCCAACACATATACCATTTTATCTACTAGGTTCTCTGGATTGTGTGCCTGGAGATTTTTTGAAGACCTACAAAAATGAGTGCCATTTGGAAAACAGTTTTGTCTTCAAGTCAAAATGTGGAAATACTAAACTGTTTTTCAAAACAAATAAATGTTTTATTATCCACAGTACAAAACAAAATGTCAATTAATTCAATTAATCTGAATTTTTATAATTATCTCTACAGTATGTTCAAAGTCTCAAAAAGTCAGTGTATATTTGAGTCTTGATTTGTTACTTAATTATTGAATACAGAGACTCAACTTCTCTTATGGCATCTCTGCAGATGAAGGTTAAAAATGTGAGAATGACAAGGGTCAATTTCCAGGGCTATCTTCAGATGACCATAAGATGTCGATGTTATCTAAATGAAAGAGGAAAGGACTATATTGTAGTGGACTTCCATTAAAAAGCCTTTA